TCTACTCTACTCCACTCGCGCAATCATTCAACCCATACTGATACTCAAATGCTCACTACACTACGTCACCACATTGTCAGCATCACTACCAGGTCACTACCAGGTACAAGCCCCAGTCACTCCCACTCTCTCTCACTCCCTCCCTCCCTCCCTCCCTCGCTCACTCACTCACTCACTCTCTCTCTCTCACACTCGTCTCAATCTGACTGACACTCACACTCACTTTCACTTTCACTCTCACCCACACTCTCACCCTCACACGAACTCACTCACTCACTCCCTCCTTCCCTCCCTCTCCCTCCCTCACTCACTGACTTCTTACTCGCTTACTCACTCTCTCCGTCTCTCTCTCTCTCTCTCTCTCTCGTGCTCTCATTCGTTGTTCGTCGTTCGCTCTGCCCAGGACTCCAAGAGAGTTCCTCAGTGGGCTCAGCAAGATGTGAAGCTCCGGAGAGAATGGAATCTTGACCTACACGTTTCACCATGGACAAGCGTGCCAGGTACAGATACTGCGTCTCTGAGTGCGCGTGAGAAGTGTTTGTTGGATTTGGCTGTTTTGGCAAGGCTAGGTCCAGCTGCTAAAGAGATGGTTGAGAAAAACGATTGGACTGGGATTCGCAACGCTGTGGATGACATGTATGTAGATGTCAGTCAGAATCCCTAATCCCTGCCGACTGTCTTGGACGAACAAGCAAGGAGTTTCAAAGTGCTTGACAACCGGCAGTGAGATTTACAGCTTTGGGCTGCAAAGGTTTTTGTTGCCCATTGAGTTGTTCTTCTTACAGGGACATAGCCGGGCGACTGCAATTCCTCCGGAAATGTCGCGGGGTAGTGCAAGTGCACTGGCCGGTGAAGGCATATGCCTTCCATGTCTTGGAGTGATTTTGTTTGCCCTGTTGAAGAGCAAGTGTATGCCCGGCCTGGCGTGTCTCAATCCCAGAACGTCGATCTAGGACTAGGACTGGACTGGACCTAGCGACTAGTGAACTAGTGTGCTGACTTAGTAACTGCAACTAGTGACTAGTGGCTAGGCTCTAGATACGATTCATTGATTCTGATTTGGAGTCTAATGACTGGTGTTTTTGGTTGATATACGGTATGAAATGGAACCCTTTCAACATGCCATAGATTCTATGTAGAGATACCAAAGAGTAAAGACTTCAGCCTTTTCCAAATGATGTTTAATTCTAATAGTTTGAAGTTTGGAGGAGGTACATATATATACATATATATGGGGGATTCCAAAAACAACATATCAGTTCCACTGTAGGAATCGTATGTTTGTATGTATATATATATACAGTATACTCTGTGTATATATATATACATAGTAGTTAATATGGGAAGGCTTACTGAAGGCAAGCCAGTCCAAAGTCCAAAGCAATTGGGATTGCTTACTGAACAGTTTCCCAAGCAAGTGTGTGTGTGCAGTGTGTTCATAAACACACATTGTGCTGCTCAGCGCAGCTCAGCACGGTGTTGCATGGCTGCACTTTTTTTGCCTTATGCTAGCTGCTAGCTACCAGTTGTGAGCTAGCTGCTCTGAATTCATGTCATAGCAAGCTGCAAGCTGCGAACCAGCGAGCAACAGCAGTGCAGAACCTTTTTTGGACAGGACGATGTACAAAGACCGTGACCACGGAACTCAGAAGAAAAAGTACCAAACGCTGTACACTGTACAGTACACAGTTCTTTTATCATTACAGTATACACTAAGAAGAGGTGGGTAGGACCTAATCAAGCCAAACAACCTGTGTGAATTTGGGCGAGTCACCTCAGCTGTTTGCTGATTCGCTGTGATGTATCATGTTTATGGAGCTAAAAACGGGTAAGGGTAAGGCTTTTCAGGCTTAAGCAACGCCTTCAACAGTGATCGATTCATCCGCACAAATGGGCGGGAAGAGGAAGAATGAGCCTCGTCTGACAGTCTGACAAGTCTTGTGGAGATTGTTTGTAATCATTAGATTATATTGTATTAGATTCAATCTTGCAGCTAGCAGCTAGCAGATAGTCACCAGGTAGTCAGGTAGTACCAGGTAGTGAGCAGCTCGTTTGGTTGCTTCTAGGTTGAACTTATGGATTCAATCAACATTTTGTGGTTAAAGCCATGCTGATCAGTGATGAGGACGATGATGACAAATCGACCGCCCTTGCCATTCCCAAGAAGGCATCTACCCAAGCCGGGAATGATGACAAGGGCCGCGGTGGCAAGAAGACCTTCACCTGCATCGTTTGTGAGAAGCTCTATCCGGTCTGGGACCTAGACTTGGCTTCAGACTGATGGATAGGTTCTGTGAATAGAATAGAATCGATAGATTGATGGGTTGTAGATTCTGGGCTGTCCTAGGTCCTAGTCCTAACTGTTAGGACCTAACAGTTATTTGCCACCGCTACCTGGCAGCTAGAACAGAAAGTGCAGCGGAGACAAGCAACTTTTGTAGCATAGGCACTAATAGATTTAATAAATAGACATAGACTATTAGTTAGTTAGTCAAAAAATAGTGTGTATATAATATATATATATATGTCCTGTAGTCACTGTAGTCTAGTCACTGATCCATTGCTGGCCGCTCCCTCTGCCACTGTCACCATCAGGCACGCAATGCAGCCGGTGAGCAAGGCCTGATCTGGAAGATTTGCTTTGGATGTGGAGACATCCTAGTCAGGATTCGGCCCAATATGACTCTTGGTGATCTCGTGGCAATTTGGCTGAACAAGAACGGTGCTCGGAAGAAGGATGAGAACCTTGTCTCTGACTTCAATGAGGGCAAGGCCCGCAGAGACGCTCTTGAAGAAGACTCAAGCCACCTCCCATTTCGTCCTGCCGGTCATGTCTGTAGTTCAGAGAATTATGGATACTTCATTTTCCAGGAGAAAGCTCTTGTGACCGCCAGTGAGTATGAAGGCCTTCTTGAGAGGTTGCCTGAAGACATCAAGCTTCAGCCAACAAAGGCACCATTTTCAGGCGTTGGCAGGGATGACACCATGTACCTGATCGACCTCCGCAACATGCCTCTCAACGTTCTGTTCAGCCTTCGCCGCTGCTATGTCTACTACGACAACAGGGCTGGACTTACAGAAGAGTTCTTGTCACCACAGACTCAACTGACCAAAGATCAGCCTGCAGAGATGTTCAAGTTTGTCTTGACACAACACTTGGAGAAAAGGCCTCAGCAGCTCCGGCCTCTAGCAAAACGACCCAAGACCATTGAGGAATTGAGGGAAGCCTATGAAGCGGCTGCGCAGGACTTGCAAATGGCAGAAGAGAGGGTTGCACGTCTGAAGCGGAAAACGCTGGGGGGTGACTCTGATGAGTCAGACAGTGACGATGAAGCTGAAGAAGATGATTTCCCCAAAGAGGTTGGTGTGGGATCGATTACTGGTGGCCAAAGGAGAAAGAAGAGTCAGGCAAAGGCAGCATCAGTGAAGAGCGCTGCGTACTCAAACGTATCTGCCAAGCCCTCTGCATCGGTTGACCAAACACCGAAGGCGCTCATGGATGAAGAGGCTGATGCAGTATCATTGGGTTCTAAGGGTGCCAAGAACAAACTCTTTGCTGGATTGGACACGGACATGACTGAAGTTGCCGAGAAGCACCTATCACTTGGCAGTGGCTCCTCAGTGAAATGCCTTGCGCATTTGCGTTCCAAAATATTTCTACTTGGACCTGAAGACTCTGGCATCCCGGAACTCACCGTGAAGTCCATGGCTGCACACATGAATGGGGCGCGGTGGGTGCTGAAAAGAACTTGAGTCTGGGGTCTAATTTGACGTGACTAGACTGCCTCACTTGAGGTACCAGGTACCAGGTAGCTAAGTCACACAGTTGAGAGATTAGGAGAACATTGAACTTGATTCTTAGGTTGAATAAATTTCAGCCAATCAATCGTCATACCAGGCCACATATATTACAACTACGAAACAATACATTACATTACATTACTCGTAGTCCTAGATAATCAGCATACAACTACTCTTACAGTCTACAGGATCATTGGGAATTTATGTTGTTAGCCTTTCTGATGGGAGGCGAAGAAGATTCTGGCAAAGCTCAAGACAAACAATTTTGAAGGAGCTCACGCACTGTTGACAGAGAGGATCACAGAGTGTGAATCAGCACAGATTCTTCGGGAATGTGAATTCTTCCAAACACCTTTCGAGGATGTGGTAGGGCACATTGAAGTCACCAGAGTGCTGTGGGGGGCCTATCCATTTCCACTGCAGCAGAAGCTGTGCTCGGTTCGCGCCATTCATGAGCTGAACAAGTTCGTCCAGCAGTACAGCAATCATCCTGAGATGCCTGCATGCAGGTGGCCTGATGACATGAAGAAGTCAATGGACTTCTTGGTTGATGCCCTCAGCTTGGTGGTGGCAGAGGACAACAAACTGGTCAACGAATTGAGGACCTTTGATGGAGAAAGCCTATTGTTTGGAAACACCCTCAGCCTGATGCTGGACATCATCGATGGCAAGCCAGGGCAAGCAAGCTCTACAACTACTACCAGGGGAGGATCAGAAGGTGAGTTTTGCTTGGATATTTGCGAGGTCATCTCAAAGGGAGAGAAGAGCAGCGAGCTGAACACGCAACAGGTGCAGTTCAAACATGACATGGAGGACAGCGGTTGTCCAATGAAACTTGGTAAGATTGACGCAGAGTTTACATTCATTATCATATGACTATATCGGTTGCTCAGTAGCCGTCAGTAGCCAAAGCCATACGCCATATGTCAAAAGTCCCAAGACACTTTTCTGCAGTTCCTTGTTGTAGTTTGTAGTTTTGTGTTGAGTAGCGGGTCAAAAAAAACACTATATAGTTACAATAGTTTATAATGTTTCCTGAGCACCAGGGTCCAACACCTAGGACCTTATTGTCTAGTCACTACTACAGTCATATAGATATGTATATATAATATATTGATAACGAGATACAGGAATCATGAGAATCATAGGAATCTGCAGGACTTTGAGAAGTATTTTTCCAAATCTTCTCCAGCGACCCCATGCTCCGCATTTTGAACCTGGGCGAGAAGGCTTGTGTTTTCCTGCAAGAGCTGGGTCAAGGCATTCTTCGTTCCATGAAATCAGCAGAAGGAGTTGAGTTTCAGAGGCGCTGCGTATCTCAGACCATTGAAGATGTGTATGAAGTGGGTGGGATTTGGCTAAGAATCAAGTCCTTGATGAAGTGCATGCTTTGCATCATTGGTGTGGAGACAGCGGATGAAGAGGGGGACCCAGCCTACGCCTACGTGGTTGCTCTCACAGAGACCTCTAGCAAAGGCCATTTGCTTGAACGCACTTGGAAATCAATTCTGATGAAAGATGGCAGCTGGTGGAAAGATCAAGTGAATGAAGTGCTTTCAACGGCTTCACAAACTTTGATGGCCAAGAAAGATGTGGAGCTCATGAAGGCTTTGTTGGAGAAGAAGCTGGATTCGCTTGAGCTGCTGGAGGATTCACTGAATGCATACAAGGCTTTGGACGGCAAGATTCGAAAGTTTCAGCTGCAAGGCTATGCCAAGGCCTTGTGTGACAAGTTCATTGGAGCTGCCAGGGAGATTGTTGATGGCAAGTCCAGCATTGCTCTGTCGACAAAGGTGATTGACTTACTGACTGATGGTCTTTCTCTCTTTCAGCAGTTCGAGGGGGCAATGAGCACGTCAGAGACTTTGCTTACATGGGTCAACAAGAAAGCCAAAGACATCGTGAAATGTGATTTGGCCTACATTCTGGAGCGCATCTCTTCTGACAAGGTTCAGCCTGATCAGATTGACTTCAGTGACGTCAAACGGTTGTTGGACAAGGCAGCCAAGTTCCCAGCAGAGTTGGATCCCAAATACCAGGCCATGTCACAGAGTGCTCTGCTGAAAATGATCAAGGGCATCTCACACAAGGCGCTTTAGGAACACTTTGGGCAAACGACTGTTACCAGTTATATTTTATATATACACACCTATGACATAATAGTAGTATAGTAGTGATGCAAGTGCAGTGCAGTGTAGTGTAGTGTAGTGAAGCTAGTCAGTTAGTGTTAGTGTGTGTGTGCTGCAGTGGCTGTAGTATGCCGGGTATGCCGTATGTATGCATTCACTAACCTCGACTGAGAGATTCTACGCAGTGACTTGGGAATGTGACTCATGGCCAGTGATGTATACCTTTCAGGTTCTGGTTCTCTTGTTGAACAAAGTTATTGCTGATTTTGCGCAGGCTTTGTTCAACCTTGACACACAACTCCTGAAGATGGCGATGGGGACAACCAAAGATCTTGCAAAGCATCTCGGAACATGCTTTGCCCAAAGCGATTCAGTATGGTCCATGGTTGTCAAGCTTGTTGACTGTCATTTGGCGATCCAGTCCTACAGCGTCTTCGTGCTGTCTGGCCTGCAAAGGCTGGAGAAAAATGAACACAATCCTCCTCCTGGATACAATGCTCTCAGCGACATGGCAACACTTCAAGCCATTGGTGGTGGCTTGGGGCGCTTTCAGAAGGCTTGCTTGGAGCTTGACAAAGCTTTGGAGGAGTCCACCATTAGTGCGGACGATGAGTCTCCTCTAGGCCAGCTGGTGCAGCTGGACACTGCTGCTGCCTTCAACGATGAGAAGCATTTGAAACGGCCAGTGTGGGACGACTTTGTGACCAAGGCAGCCCACAAGTTGCTGGAGACGGTGCAATTGTCGATCTTTGCCAAGGACAACATCTCCATGGTGACAAATCATGGAAGAAGGGCTTGGACGCTGACAGCACTACTGAGGATGCTATGCTCAAAATCTATGAGGATCACTTGGACAAATTGGAGGGTAACAAGCTCAAGGACGAGACCACCCAAATCATTGAGGACTGCCTTCGCATGATTGACATGCTGAGGACACTGAACTCCTGTGTTACATTGTTACAGTGCTGGCCACAAGCCGCAAGCCGAGCCTAAGGAATAATTAGCGGCAGCATTATTGTATTACTGTAGTAACTAGTAATAGTCACAGTAGTAGTAGTAGCAGCAGCAGTAGTAAGTAGTACGTAGGAGTAGGAGTAGGGCCTGAGTAGGAGTAGGACTAGGAGGTGGTAGTGGTAGTAGTTAGTAGTAGTTGTAATTATTGTAATAGTAGTTCTGGAGCACGATTTCAAGAATACTTGAATTGAATACAGTTCAGTACTTAATCTATTTTCATAAACTAGCAAATGGCAAACTTGCAGGACTTGGGAGTGGCAAACCAGCTGCTGACATCTGTGGGCGACCATGTCAATAGCGAAACAGCCACTGAGATGGTTGAGAAATTGCGGCAGTGCGTGGAATCAAAGGGCTTGCAGGATGCCAAAGATGGCAAGGTCATAGTGCTAGAGTGCTCTTTGCTGAAAGCACTCCAGCAGTTCAAAGAGCAAGGCCCAGCTTCGGCTTCTGCACGCAAGAAAGCAACGGATAAGGCTGCAAAGGTCATCAAATCGGTCGAGGTGTTCTTGGCTTCCTCTACACCTTTGCACATCACGCCGGAAGACGTCTTTGGTCCTCTGCTTAAGCTGGCCAAGGAGAAATGCCCTTGACAGCCTGAGATGCCTGAGTTTTGCCTGACTGGCAGTGTGCTTCAGCAGCAACCAATACCAGTCATACAATACAATATGGTACGATACAGGACCTGACAGATTTAGGAATTGTGTTGATCATATATTATATATACAAATTGTATAATGTTGTTGTTTCGTGTTGAGGCAGTCAGTCATATTTTCCATTTAGGTCATTTGTGACACTGCGATTCTTTAGCAGCAGCAGTCAGCGCGAGACTTACTGTACTAGCAGCCAACTGCCAGCTGTGACATCGGCGACCTTTAGTAATAACTTTAGTTAGTGAAGTGAAGCTTCTGATGAGAGATTTGTGGGACTACAAACCTAGCTTTGACAGCTTACTGTTAGTATATACTTTACTATACTATACTATACTATACTGAGTACTGACACCCCCATGAACTGTTTCCTGGTAGTGGCCCTGTTCTGAATCGAAGCCGAGAAAAGTTGCAGCAGCACAGGGCAGCAAGCTGCAAGCTAGCTAGCAACTAGCAGCAGACTTACTGATGAGTTTCGCCCATCGATAAAGGACAGTGATGGGCGGCTTATTGGAAAAAAACAGCCGGGCAGTCTCAGCAGTCTCAGCGTCTTAGCGTTGTCAGTGGTGACCCAGAGATTGCATTGCATTGGTTGCATTTGTGTTGGAAGTGATGCCTTCAAACACATAGTAACTAGTAACTGTAACCAGTAACTAGTAGTAAAGTCTAAGAGTTTAGAGTCAAACTGCACACTCCAAGTCCAAGCCTTCACATCCTTGTTTCACCAGTGCATTAATTTGTACAGTCCAGTGCAGCAACAAGCAATCTCAATGCCAAAAGCAACGCAGCAACCCAAAAGCCGCCCCCCCAAGTTCTGGAGGAGTTAACCAAAACCACCATGCTTTAAAACATCTTACAACTACAAACCAATGGCAGCACGGCCAAGCAAATGACAAGAAAATGACAAACAAATGACAACTTTGGATACAAACAAAGCCAGCTAAAGGATTTCCCAAAGCACACACAAAGGACAACAAAATGACACCAAAATGACTCACAAATGACAATAGCAAATCCCACATGACAAAAAAACAACAATTCCAAATGACAAAAAACAACAAACAAACGACAAACTAAAGTTTTTGTGATTTTCAATCTTTGGCTCCCCAAGTTCATTCTAATTTTAATGTATAGGTATGTCTAAGTATTTGGTTTCCGACATCTTCAAGTATAATATGAGGATTTTCACATGTTCCTTTGGAAAGCGTCAGGCTGAGTAAGTGCGTTGCCAGTTAAGTTTTTAATCCGGCCAGGAACTTGCAACAAAATCTAAGTGGGTAATCGGTCCGGCCAGGAACTTGCAACGAAATCTAAGTGGGTAATCGGTCTGGTTGGCAATCGTTTGTTTCCACATATGTCCGACAACTCCAAATATATTAAAATATTGTCTCCAGCATTTTGGAGCTTATTTATTTTGAAATTTGGGGTCTGACGCGCTGCCCTGACCTCAGTGCATGAGTGCGAACGAAACACCCTCCAGCAAACAGCTTGTGCATCACTCGCCGCTGTAATAGTGGCAGTTCGATACAGTATGTTCAAGTTTGGCCCCTACAGCCTGAGGCAGTGGCCGCAGAAGGATGTCTTGGAAGTTGCACCTTGGCATTCAATGCTCTCGCTTTCATGCTGAACAGGCCAAATTCAAAAGGTTTGCGCAATGGGACACTTTACAGCGTCCTAATTTTACTGTTGGCATAGTCTAACCCAAGAACGAGCAAACCCCATGCAAGAAAAGAGTGGTGGCGACGGTGTCTTTTCCAATCCTCATTTGAGGAGGTCGTTGCTTCCGTGGCATTCTGTGCCAGCAAATCAAAAAGCCAAGTACAGGCACACCGTCAAAGAAGCCTCCCAGTTCCGTTCGTATACTTCATTGATCTTCATTGAAGGGTTAGTGATGGCGGTTGCTAAGTCAGCTGCTATTTACACCAGAACACGGCTTCTGTGACGGTGAGGGCTCAAGTGAGGCCGATGCCATGCTTTGCCCGGCTCAGCTACGAATCACTGCTGCTGTCACTGCTGCTCTCACTGCTGGAGCTTGGCGGCTTCTTTCTTTTCTTTGCGGCGGGCTTCTTCCCGCCTCACAACCATCTGTGGGTGTTTAGCAGTTTACACACGGTGCGACAAGATTTCCTGTTTCGGGAAAGCCTTCATCAGGAGCGGCTTGCTTCTTTTGTGCTTTTGCCTTCGTTTGAGCGCCCTGACCCTCCGCCTGGCAAGTCTAGCACAGGGGAAGGTGCAGCTGGTGCAAGTTTGGCATGTCCAGCTGGCCAGCCTTCCACTGGAGCAAGACGCTTCTTGCAGCTGTGAAGCTTTTCTTGGGTCCTCTGCAGCTCGGCGTCCTGATGCGAATGGCAACAGCATCTCCTTCGTAAAGAGAAAAAACTGCAATGACACTTGTGCAGCGTCAGCAGGCTACAGTCACAGTGAAAGGGCTTTGACACAGCGTGTTTATGTGAAGCAACTGTGCGCCTTGCTTTTGAGCTCCGATTGAACCTTTTGCAGCTCCGAGCCAAGGCTTCGAAGTTGGTGACCGCTTTCTCTCGAAGAGAAATGGCTCTTATGGCCCGTCCATTATCTGAGAGCTGAAGTTGACCGACAAGGCCATGTCCATCCAGCGCCTTAGTGACCGATGTGTGTCGAACTGGCTGGGGGTCGCACAAAAGCGGGCTCCCGCTCACTATTCAATGGCACTCTGTTCAGCAAATCACAAAAAAGGAGCACCACTGCTTGAACGGAAACTCTGATCAATCTCGTTCAGTCCAGCGGCTTGAGGGTATCCTCAGCTGCGCCGGCCCGTATCTCCTCAGCAACAGCCTTGATGAAAGCTGCGTCTATCTCTTCCGGCGAGACCCTGTGCAAACTGCCGAAATGCTTCTGAATGTCTTTGGCTTTCCAGGCAGGCTGAACTGCCACCACCACGGGCAGTTCCGCTGGCCAAGCACACGGCTCCGAGAAGTAGTCTTTGCGCAACACTTCGATTGCATGCTGGCTGACAAAAGTGGGCACAGCAGAGAAAGCAAAGTCGATCCAGAACATGTTCCCTCCACAGTCATACTGACTGACATTTCCCAAAGCCAGATCAGCTGCTTCCGCTCTGAAGGAACCCTGGCCAAGAAAATTTTGCTTAAGGTTGAAAGAGACGGGTATTGATACCCCTCTCTTACATCAAGGGGGGGCGCCCCCCCTTGATGTAAGAAGGGGGTATGGTGTTGCGTAAGAAAGGGGTATCAGTACCCTCTAAGACCCCTACTCTTACATCAGTGGGGGCCCCCCCTGATGCAGCAAAGGGGTATCAGTACCCCCTTCTTACAACAACTTGGTGAAAAACATCCTCACACCATAAGGGGAATGAGAGAATGAGAGACTCTTAACTGAAGGGGGGAGCGCAGTCCCTGATGTAAGGAAGCTCGTGCTTAAGAGGGAATGAGTTTGACAAGGCGCCGTATGCCCCCTTACGCGCTGCCCCCTGCCTTGGTGGCGTAAGAGCCCATGCCAATGCTCTGGGCTTGCTTCGAGCCAAGCGCTCCCCAGGTAGCCTTCACGAGCTCCAAATCCTGCTGCACTGTTCCAGCACCGTCTTTTTGAACAGCGTAAGGCCACATACAGTGAAAAAATCACCAGGCAGTGGGCCGCACTACATTGGTCATCCCAAGTTAAACGGGCATACACTGGAAGAATCCACACTCAGTGGGCCTCACAACGCTGGCCATCCCAACTGGAACCGTTTCTGGGCTGTAAGGGCCCTTACGCTGCGCACAGAAGCCACCGCCATACACGAGAAGACCCCCACAGTCAGTGGGCCCCACAACGCTGGCCATCCCAACTGGCACCGTTTCTGGACTGTAAGGGCCCTTACGCTGCGCACAGAAGCCACCGCTGGTATGATTTCAAGACCGGCGGAAGGCCCCTTACAGCTTGCCGCTTGGCTATCCTCCAGCGTCCTCTTTCCAGATCGTGGAACCGCATCAGTGAAAGAACGCAAGCAATGCATCTTGGATGTGTGGCAACTTTTATGCTTCCTTGTTCGCTTCAGCTGATAGAAGGACTCCGCCGCAACCTCCCCCGGAAGGCCCCTTACGGTCTCACCAACAGTGACAGCGTTGGACCCACAAGGCTATGCCAGGCTCCCAAACCGGCACAATATCAAAGACCGCCGGAGGCACCGAGACCGCTGCAGGAGGCACCGGCAGAAAGACCCTGCTTCAACCCCGTAAGGGCCCATACGTTCCCAAAACCATCGGTGGGCCCGAAAACATTGTTCATATCATGGCTGTAAGGGTCCACTGCTGCGGGCACCGGCGCCAGGACGAGAGTTCAACCCCGTAAGGGCCCTTTACGGTCCAGAAAGCAAGAGTGAGCCCCACAACACTCTTCAAATCAGGGCAGTAAGGGTCCTTACACCTGAGCTCTGTGGCAACCCAGCTCTCAAACCTGCAATGCCCAATGGATGGAGACCACTGCTGGTGGCCCTGGTGGAAGGATTCCACGACCACCCCGCAAGGTAGCAAAGGTCCCTACAAAATCGGAAAATGTCATGGCCGTAAGGGGCCTTACGCCCGGTCTCTGGCTTCCCAGCCCCCAAACCTGAAAAGAATAGCATCGGCAGAAGGACCCCACTTCAACCCCGTAAGGGTCCCTTAAAGTTCCCAAAACCACCAGAGGCCCCGGAGACACAGTCCATTACATGGCCGTAAGGGTCCTTACGCCTGAGCTCTCTGGCATCCGAGCTCTCAAACCTGCAAAACCCAATAAAGACCACAGCTGCTGGCACCGCCAGTAAGGGCTCTATTTGTACCCCGTAAGGCCCCTTTATGTTCAAAATGCAGAGGGCTCCCAAACCTCTGCACATTTCACGACTGTAAGGGTCCTTACGGCTGGTCTTTCGCGTAGAGGCTCGGGGGGTTTTTTGTTTGGCCCCGTAAGGCCCTTTACGGCCACGAAAGCTG